TTTCAATGGAGCTATACTCATTACATAAGCAGGGTATCCAGCCCTTTCTTTGAATTGAACCAGAATAGCATTTACATCTAATATATTGCCTCTGTCATAAAACAACTTCTAATTTGTAAGTTAAAAAGCAAGACCCTTGTACTCAGATAGCAGCTGTTCTACTCTACCCATGGTAGAGCAATCATGGTAGGGTGAGGATTACATATGTCTTTAAAAAGGACTTAAAAAGAGTGTTGCTTGAATTCAAAGGGGAGGGGGAAGGATAGAAGGGATGGAGGCTACAGGCCACCTTTAGCCTGTTAATCTTAGTGCTTTGTCAGCACTGCATGTTATCAAAAGGAGTACTATAGTTAACATGTACAAGGCTGCTCCCCCTCCCTGCCACTGATGTACTAAATAGCCCAAAAGGCTATTACAGACCAAAGCACATTTTAGACCAGGCTGTAAGAAAGTAAGGGCTGCTCTAGCCAAGAGGTGCTTCTTGCATCGTCAGGCTCAATGCCCCAAACTGCTAGCTCTCTCTGCACCCAGGCAGTTTACTCATTTTTTTTTTTTCTGATGAGTTAGGGAAGGGCAGAGAGAAAAATAAGTGCTTTAGATTGCACAAAAGATTGTCCTACTAAAATGGGGCACTTAACTGGGAAACAATTCCAGCTATAAATCTAGCAGGCGCTCTTCACATGTCTCCACAGGCCACTTAGTTGCACCTCCAAACACATCAACGTTATTATCAACCCAGGGTATGATGTTGCCAGGCATGTTGGTAGAGCAGTTGGCAATATTCATGATGTCTTCAGCTTTTAAGACCCTGTCCCATATATTGAATTGGCTCATCTCCCCAACGAAGGCTTGAGTTGCATCAAATCTTCCTCCTACTGTGTCCTTTAGGCACATAAGAATTAGGATTAGATGAGCAGGTTATTTCAGCGTTTTCTTCTTCAGACTTGAAGACCCTTCCCCCCACAGCCACCCTGCTAGAAGCAGGGGGAAGAGAGCATGAAGTTGATATCTGTATGATCTAGCTCTAAGTTTCTAGAAGGGCCACTTTGAACAGGACATTGCTCCATGGAACACTGAAAAGCTGAAGTCTGAAATACACATGTCAAAACAATTCAAAGCAAACAGTTACTATATACTACCACAAAAAGACTGTACCTAACTAATCCTACAGCCAAGCAGTAAAGTAGCTTTAAATACAGAGGCTGATGTAGGACCCATTTTGCAAACCTTCCACAGGACAAATTCAGTGAAAACCACATAGATGAACAGAATAACTCCAAAAGCTTTATGGTTATAGATTAAACTAACTGCAGCCCTGGACCAACTGTCTGCAGGGACTGAAGACAGGAGCTTTGGATCAAGTATACAGGCTTCTGCTGTCCATATCAAATTAGTAACTCAAGCATTTGAGGCTTATGCAGTAACAGTTGATTTGCTCCACCCAGTACTCAAGGACAGAGATCACACATCTTGTGATCATACTGACATGAGATTTATAGCACATGACAGAGCCAAGCACAGTAGAGGCAAGCTGCATGGGAGAGTTACAGAAAAGTTTTATCAGCCCTTTAAAACTGAGCTGGAACACCTGCTATGCAAAGTGCACTAGACTTCTGAATCTATTAAATGCCATTTACTAAGTGTAATTTACTTATGTTGGGGATAAGGATCTACTGAAATAAGGATCAGGATAAAATTAGTTTTTCATTGCCTCACTCGGTTGTTAATCTGGGAATTCTGGAGAAAGTACGCTTCTTGCTATTCATTATAATCAATGATTTTTAGTAAAATAATGATATCAAAGTGTATAAACATATGCAAGAATAGGAAGATAAAAACTGAAAATAAAACAGAGCCATGCTATTTATAATTAGACATTAAATAAGAGATTCAAAATCCTATTTAAACTACTGTGTTCTTCCTTATTCAAAAAGGATTCATCCTTAGTCTCCTGAATACTTTGTATTGGCTATATCAATATTCAGACATTAACGTTTGCATTGGGAGAGTTGTTTACATACATCTTTAATCAGAAGCCAAATATGTAACATAGAATTCATTCCTTTGACTTCAGACTCGCCTTTAAAGCGGATACCAGCTTCTGAATTAGTGGCATTAACTCTAAAGCTTTGCAGGTATGTAGCACAATTCTCCCTAGCAGACACATGTAGAAGATGGCAATATATCCACAAGTACTCTAGTGCCCATGGTTGTCGCTTCCCGCACTCCCAAACACACAGGCATTCTTTGGTCTATTCTGGGGCTCTAGGAATAACATTCTCACTATGCTTGCGATAAAGGGGGGAAGGGAGGGTGGAGAGAAAACAAAAACCACGTACCATAGAAGGATGGGTAATCTGGCTTAAAAACCTAACCAAAAAGCAAGTATGGTACTTGGTCTAACTTCAGGCAGCTCCTTTTTAACTGCACTCAGACACACATAACAGGTTTGCCCAACTCTGTCCTTTTCTTAATAGCCAGTTAACAATCTAGTTCAAAGGACTTCATTTAAGGTATAGTCAGATCACTAGTGAAGTTTCACACTGTAGCATGAAGACTGGGAATAGGAATAGCTGCAACATGAATATCCTGAATATTAAAGAAATTGAACAAAACATACAAGTATGCACTTGCATCAAGTATTTGCTGCTTCGTAAAATTTTCTAGACATGCAACAAGACCAAGGCTTTAACATAAACGGGGGAAATAATTTTCATATAGCTGCTGCTTGTTTGGAAATTTAATTTTTCTTTATAAAGAGATAAAAACCACACACCTTTGGAACACACCATGTCTTCCACTCACCTGCTCCTGACCGAGGATCAGGACACCTCCAGGTTTAATTGGGTGCCACGGAGCCAGATTCTCTCCGGTGCCAAGCTTCTCTCCATCCTGAAAAGCCTCCCACATGCCATCTCTAGTTGTCCATGTTACACAGATATGATGCCATTTTCCATCACTAACAAAGAGGGGGAGCTGGGCAACCTACAAAAAAATGCCAAAGACTGAGTCTGGCTGTTTAAGCACAACATTTATCCACTTGTCCTCAGACGCATAAACTGCGGAGGCAGAAGTTAGTCCCCATCCAAATCTTTCTATTCTCTCCCAGCTAGTAGTGACTGAGAATCATCTCCACAATTCTATATATGAATGCACTGGAAATTCAGGCATATAGGCATGCTTTTTATTCCAGCTGAGCGCTGCTTTGACACTCACCATTTGATCAGAGCTGGAACAGAGTCTAAGCTGCTAGCAGTTCACTGATGCTGCAGATTACTTTGCAGCATCTGTTGTCACCTAAGTTTCAGCACTTTAGCCCTAACTTTCCATCCAGTTTTTGTGCTAAGTTTTCCTTCAGTCTGGGGTTTGCCTGCACCATTTGCAGTAAGCACTTTACTTGACAAGTAGATCTGTCTGCTTCCAATAAAGCTTGTGGGAGCTGAACATAGGGCTCCAAATGAAGAAGGATTAAACTCCTTTAGGAACTTGATCTAAAACTTACTCAAGTCAATATACATATAAATGCAGTGGGCTGTGCAGCAGCTCTGTAATATGAGAGATAAATAAGAAACCACTTAGCCTCACACTATTAATACAATTGACGAAAACGCTGAAGAGAAAGTTACAGCTAAGGATAGAAAACTTAAGTCTACTTATCCTTCCACAAATCATTAAAAATAACCAGCCTTTCACTGTTACTGATTTGGGAGGACAGTAGGACTGTTAAGAGTCCTTAACTCGCCACATAACTGAACCACCTGAGTTTGTGCTATAGCTTTGTAAACACCTGATCCCCCAGAGAACAGTGAGTTACTAGGAAACCTATCAGACCAAGGAAAACAAGGGATGGTGCCTGAAGGCAAGTGATGCTACAATGTTGCCTGGCCAAGTTAAGAATCTAGTTTTGCTCATATTGATTCAAATAAAGTCATTCAGCTATCATCAGCTATTTACATTTTATAACTAGTCCAAATTGAAGGTGAAGAAAATGGCAGTATTTATAATCTGTTTTAAAGACAAGCTTTACGAGTTCAACTTTTCCTCAGGTTTAATTCTGAAGCTTGTCAGAAACCCACTAGTGGTATGAAGCAGCCTGGGACAACTGTTGCTTTTTGCGTCTACATAAATTCTGAGAAAGTCACATTTAAATTTAGGTCTGAGAGTTAAAACACATCAAAACCAACCCCAGCTGTCTTTTGGTCTCTGCTTTGTGCCAAATTAGTTCTAACATATCTAAATTTCCAGGATTAGAAAGAAAAATTATGCAACTGGCTTAGATCAAGTTTTATAATAATGTAACTTCAAAAAAAAATTACTTCATTTCAAGAAAGGGATTCAAACACAGGAAGCCAACGTCTGCTTGTTGTTTTAGAGTATGAGCATACATTTGTGCTCACCTAAATTACATTGTCCTGTCTCAAGCAACATACAAGTCTATGCACCACTTTACTTTGAGAATACTTTTATGAATCTGCAACAAATACTAAGAGAGTCAAAAAAGTAAATACAAACACTCTTTCAACTTGAGAGCCCTGAGCTGGCTTCTCTCCGAGAGAGTAAGAAAGTTAGAGAGGTACTAAGGGTTCAGGCCTTGAAACACCCACTGTTATTCTGGCCACGTAGACTAAGAAGGTTGTTTGTTCTCACCTTATCATTAATTAGAAGTTCAATTGGATTATTACCCCACTCTATGAGAACAATTTCATTAGCCTGCCCAGGAACAGCATATGAAAATGGAGTGCCAATTCCAGGAGAAGCACTTGATCTCAACCACAAACACACAGTGAAAGCATACAGCTCTGGCAGAGTCTTCTTGATCTTCCCATACAAGTAGTTTGTGCGAAGAGGCAGGGACACTTTGAATTCGTCAGGTGATTTAAATGCACTGTTACCTAGAATTACATGGAGAAAAGAATCTTAAACATTGTTTTGTTTAATAAGTATATAATTCAGGTTAGAAAATATTTGATATTGACTACCTTTCTAACTTTACTCAGTTTAGAGAAGGTAGACAAAAACCACATTCGAGAAATATTGTTGAATGTTGATTGTGCAGCACAGTTAAAAAACAAGAATTAAGACTGTATATACATCGTGCTAATTACTTATTCTTTTGTTCTAGATTAGCAGGAAAAAAGCTAAATGCCATGCAGCTAATGAGAGGCTGTTAAATATTTTCCTCCTGCATTGCTCAGTTTATGGCTGGAGGCCTTCTTATTTCACACCATTCAGACTGTTTTAAAGATATGTACCGTTATTAAACGGATTCTCTGGTAGGCTCATTATTAAAACAGAGTTCAAAAATATGTTCCCTCCTACTATTCCTACACAGTGAACTAGCGGCATTATTCCCATTTTACAGATAGCTGGTTGAAAATCAGGTTGACTTTCATTTTGGATGGCCAGTCTGAAATAACTAGTACATTCCAGAATACGTAGTAGAACCAATCTCTATTACACAGACAACTCAGGAGACCTGAATCAGAATGTAAAGCTGAACTTTAAAATGACATCAAGGAAAATGCAATATAAAGTTGTGAACTATCAAAACGTTAGACACTATAAAAGCAAAAGTTAAGACTACTATAGTTTTTTCTGGAAGATGTCATAAAAAGCCAGAAAAATTCCAAAGAAATATTGGTGTAAGAGTTCTCAGCTTCATAAAAACTTGATGCAACACTGTTGCAAATATAGTAGTATGTATATACTTCTGATATAGTTGCTTATGGATCGTTTTCTAGATTAAAAAAACTAAACAGAAGAAACAAATCTCACATTGTGACGGAATATAAAGCCCCATGTTTCTGCTGTAGTTGGAGCATCTACCTCAACCTTTTCTTCCATTTCCTACCCATTTCCTCTTCTTACATTCCTGAAAAGAAATTCAATCCCCTTGCCATATTTCACATTCTGATCCTAATGAAGAGCTGTTGTCACAAAAGGTTGCCACAATTTTCATATGTAATTAACTGTTGGCATTCTCTCAGCTCCCATTCTCAGAAGCAGCTGAAGTGTTTTGACTGCATTTTTTTACAGAAAGAGGGGGTGGAAGAAAAAGCTTGTCTGATGCTCGCATCTGTCTTGAGGAACTTGTAAACCAAAGACAAATATTCCAAACTTATAAACAAATGAAAATAGGATCTTAGGACTAATGTCGAGCAACCTCCACTAGCCTGGCACAACCAGAGACTTTGGGAATCATGACAGCTGCACAAATTTCAAGCTTTTCTGCTCCTGCTAGGGGCAGGAGAGCTAACTGTTAAAACTACAGGAAAAAAACCAACCTTCCCCCCCAAGCTTTATTTCATCCACCTTATAAAAAGGTTACTTCTACATATACAGTCTCAGGATAACAATGAGGCCCTGATACTCCAATTTGCTGATGATAGATGCTAAATGATACAGCATTTGAAATAAAAATCACAATAGCAATGCTGTTTTCAGATGATGTCAAATCAGTCCAAATATTAATTGACTGGACTTTGTAATCTACAAAGTCATTAAGTTTTTGATTACCACCCTCGCTTTGATTTGACTGAGGAACTAAAGGCACGGGACAGCTAAGCTAATGGTATTTAAAAAGACAGCAAACTACACAACCAAAAGAAAGCCCATGTCTCAGTTCCTAGCCCAAATTCTCCGCTTCTTTGGAAACTAGTAGGAAGAGAGCCCCATCTCCACATAGGAAAAAAATAGATGGGAAAGGGGCTATTTTTAACCTAGGTAAATTACACATTCTTTTTCTGGTTCTCCCACCACCGCCTTTCTCTTTTTGATGACTTACTGATATGAGTCACTTCTTCCAGAGATGAGCACTAGCAATACTCGCCACATAAGGCGTATTAACAGACTACCAGTTCACCGGAATTTTTGTTGCAGTTTGAGCTTCACCTTAGCTCTCAGAAGAGCAATAAATGACAGAGCAATTAGAAGAACTCTTCTTCCTCCTTCCCTTTCCCCATCCTTCACACTTTTAAAATGAAAATAATACATACTGTATTATACAAATGGATCCATTAGGCTGCACTTTAAAATTCATGAACATGTTTGCACTGTTTTGAAAGCATGTCCATTAAGGCGCTTTCAAGTAGAGAGCCCATTCACCTTGGGAAATCATTTAGGAGCAGTAAGACTGGGCAGTAGTATTTAGTGGTACTCTAGTAACCGCAATCTACTACACACTCCACTCTGCAGGAATATATTGTCAACACAGCTAGTCCTGTTCTGTAGCTCATTTCCATGGGCATTTGTGATTCAGACTGACTCTGCTCAAGCATACAGACCACAGTATTTAATCTGCATATCTAATTAAATGGCTAGAATCAAAAGAGTATGCCCCACTGGCATCATGTGTAATCTACTATTAGCTCCAAAGGCTGCATACTTGGGATAGGAAGCAATTCAAGGGTCCGCAGTAACTCAAAGGTATGGCCAGCAATGAAAGATTTTATCCTATGTGCTTCTAAAACAGCAGGTAAGGGTTCCAGTATAAGATCCCATTCATTACAAAGGCAGTTGTGCTAATCAAGTTTAGCCCATGTGACTTTGAGTTCACATGAGACAAGGCAGCTCTACTTAGAGGTATACCTGACATTCTTTAGGTATTTATGATACCACTGTCGTACTTCTCTCCACCCCACCCACCTCCTTCTATACCTTTCCATCCCACAAGTGCTAAAAGATTCACCTTAACCACCTACAGAATTACATACGCCAAGGAAAGAGAAAGGAAATCAAGCCATGCAGGGCCTGTCAAACAGGTCTGTGACAAAAGCAAATACAAAAATCCAGATGTGTGTACTGTCATCTACTATTTAGTCCAGCACCTTAATCAGAAGGTTGCTGTATTTCCCTCAAGGCACACATTTAGTCTACTGTGCTGGATGGGGGGTTAATCAGTCAATATATGGAAGCATTTACATTCTGTCCAGATTACCTTTTTCTAATTCAGACACTCTTTCTAGCAACGCATTCAAGGCTGTCTCTGTCTTTTGCCGGTGGGCTGATGTCTCATTGTGAAGCAAAGACTTTTCATCCTCGAGCTCGGCCACTTTGCTCAGGAGTTGGCGCTCCAGGTCCCCAAGCCTCCGCTGTAGCATCTCTCGAAGCTCAGTAGGCAGCGCTGCATATGACACATTGGCTCGGAGTTGGTGCTTTGGGAAAAATTTAAAGAGTTTATGCTTTCTCTAAAACAGAGATTGTGAAACGTGAATATGCTCATGCCTCAAGAGGAAGAGAGGTCACTGAGATCCCCAGCAGCTACCGAAGAGGCATTGCTTTTTAGCCCTGTCACGTTCAGTGCTTTTATCAGCACTGTAGCTAAACAGGTCCCGAAACAAAAGGACACCTTTGTTAAAGGCTGCCAGTGTTTCATATCAAATAATCTTCATAAATTTATAATCAATAAAATTCATGTAAGAAGCCAGGTCCAAACACATCCCCATTCGTATGGGGACCAAAGTGAAATATGTAATCTTAGCTTTGCTTACTGCAAGAGACATTGTCAACTTAAGTAAACAAAAATTGCTCTTTTAAAATAAAGTTGAACTATTTCTAAAGCGAATTTAGCAAATGAAAGTTCTCAGTTTTGGTTTGCCAAGTAGTGAGCCAGATGTTCTTTAGATCAACTCTAAGTACTACCCACTGAAATTATTTTTAAACTGCAAAAAAAAAAAAAAAACCACCAACACACTTTGAAATACTACCAATATCTTTAAGGAGCACTAAAATCAGTAGTTCTATCTACCATGTTATTCTGGTAGAGTTTCCCTTCCCCAGTCCTAAAAAGGAATGCCAATATGAGATGCCTCAAAAAGACAGCAGTAATATTAAGAGAATGTTATACAGCCAGATCATTCAAAACTGTACTTGAAAAAACAGTCAACAGGGTCCAGATCTTCTTACAGAAGAACCTTTAGGAAGTTATTCTAATTCTTCACAAACATCAGTGAATGCTTGGAGGATCTCAGGAGGACACACACAGAGCTGCCACGGTCTGGAAAATGAAACAACATCCAGCACCATTCCTGTTGGGATACTTTCTACCAGAAGTGGTTCCCCCCCCACCCCATGACTTCCAGTCTACCACAGACACTATCCAAAGACTGCTGGAAGTCATTTGTCAGCAGGCTTGGACCAAAGCCCCTTTGTATTCACAGAATTATTCAGAACCACGTTCATGCTGTTGGAGGCCAGCTCTAAATAAAGCATCTCATCTTCACAATCTGTCCAATACCGTCTCCTCGTGACCACCGCCACTTGTTTGTTCAGCACCATATGCCAAGGTCTTATTGCCCAAGATGTCAGCATTACACCTAAAACCCTATGAAGCCACACTCCCAGAAACAGACATTTAGACTTGTTAATACAGAAAACTAAGCTGGACACACTCAGGAAAGCCACCCAACAGGAGACTGCATGCATGGAAGAAGCCTTCAATTCCCCCCCCCAATTAAAACAAACAGATAAACATCAAGAAGACAAGACAAACCAATCAAGCAACCCACTCCCTGCACTTGGCCAGTTTGGGTTTAATTTCTC